GGACAAACCCCTCTCTGTGAATGAATTTTGTGCATCAGGCCTCCAGTTATGCATAAGTTTCATAGCAGCTTCCATTTCTTGCTTAGAGTTTCAAAAACAATGAGTGAGCTTTCAGTTTTCCATGAAAATATAAACAGTCATTGGCATGTAAATCCTTAGAAATTGCAATATTCCCCTTTTAGAAGTTTGTTTAAACTTCTCCCCAAAGTTTTATTTTCTCACAAACACTAATTATTTACAAAATTCATGAGTGTTTTACCTTTTTTTTATTATCCGAAAAGCTAATTCCAGTAAATCAAGAAATGGCCCAACTGAGAGAGGCAAACTAGCCTGTTTTAATTCACAAGCTAGATAGTTGGCAACCCCAAGGTGTAAGTTAGATATACTTTACTTTTAAAGCCATATTTTGTAACTGGGTTAGACTAAAGTAGTCTGTTCTTGGAATTATTGTTAGCTACTTCATTGCTTCTGACTACTTAACATCCATATTCCAATAGATACTTTTTCTTGCTAGATGTATCCCAAAGAATAATTTTTTAATTATCTTTGTGTAAAAAGAGAATAAGGCTGTCAGGATGAAGGAAATTACTGTGTAACCCCAAGTGTTTATGACTCAATTTTGTAAGTTCTTAAACATGTGTTACAGATTTCTTAGAATAAATAATGCAAAAATAGGGATATTACAAAATCATTATAAGAATAATCACCAAGTAGCTGTTTTCAAGGAGTATTTTTAGTCATTTCTCTTTTAAATTCATGATGTGTCCATGAATGAGACACAATTTCAGGTGTCTGGTATATAATATCAACACAGTTTGTTGGCCACTCCCTTGCATTGGTTTAAATAAAAATGGTTAATTTGCTAGAGCGAGTGCTTTGGAACTTTTGTCCTCAGTTGCACAGGAGTGCAATTTTTATTTAAGACAAAAAAAAAGAATGTCCAACATGGAGATGTACCCTCTCCTACTAGGAAACACACACACACTTAGAATTTTTAAAACTAAGAGTAAATTTAATATATGAAATGATCCAACTAACTGATGAACACATTTCATTTTGATAACTACTTAAGTCCTTTTTTGAGCACTAGAATTTCATTGCCCACATTTGCCTACGTATATTGATCTAGTTTGATATGAAGTTGTGAAAAAAGCCACGTACTCATTATTTATATATACCACCTGGTATGCAGTGGCCTATGATCGCTGTCCTGTTTATTCCCTTTTGCGAAACTAAGAAGAGAAGATACGGTAATAAGCCATGGAAGTCTCTAGAGGCCATATAAATGTTTTAGAGGTAAAACATATTTTATAGTGTTTATTATAATTTTTTATTAATGGGGTTAAACGTATCAGTATAAATGATAGTATGGGTCTGATGCTTTCTCCTAGGAGAGAAAAATCCAGAAGCTATTCAATTTTACCAGGAGTTTCTATTAGTGAATTTTATTTACTTATGATGAAAGCATATGGTTATTTTGTTATTAAGAAAATATCCATGATTGTTCTGTAAATCTAGGGATGGAATGCTTTCCAGAAATGTATATGATTGGAATGATTTCCAGAATTGTATAAAAAGCAATCATTTTATTTTAAATCATTTATATTTTAAATCAGTTTTATATTCAGATTAGTTTTCATTTGTATACTCCAGCATTGTAGATTAGTTGCTATTTGCAATCTATTGGAGGAAATCATTATGATTATTTTTACTAGTAAAACAAATTTTATTTTACTAGCATTTATTTACCTTGTATGTATAAAAATGAAGTTATAACAGAATCAAATATGGTAATGGCAGCAGTAGCCTCTGACTATAACATGGTTGAATAACACTGGTTAAAAAACGCAAAGATCTTTACACATTTTTGTAGATTTAAATACATAAGCATTTCTATTAATTCCTCTTCCCTAAAACTAAAATGAACCAAACTCAAATGACCCCAGCCTTCTATATAGCTAGATGACAGTGAGTTCCAGACATTAAGAAAAATATTTCATCCTCATTCTTTTTAATTTGAAAAGTGCATGATTATAGAATTTTGTTATCCAAATGGAAATTTCAGATGGTTTCATGTAAATTAATCCAAATGTTTTCTTCTTTAGCCTGTCAAAACCATTTTGTTTAAAAATTCTCTTGAAATCTAAACATACACATTACATGACCTTTTAAAAAGTACCAAAAATTAATAGTTGCATAAATGGTATTATTTCTAGTTTTCTATAAAGCAGTGATTCATTCAAAATGTATATTCTTTAAAATATAATAGCATATACTTTGAGAAGAATGACAAAATACTTTTCTGTTCTATTCCCTACTGCTGATTTACATTTTGAATCTTAGTTCATTTGATTATAAGGGTTAAACAATAAAAAGTGTGACCACAATTAATGTATCTCTGTGACTTGAAAATTTGCTTTCCTTTTTAAATTGAGAGATTACATTTTTCAATAACTGAATTAGTTATCTACATATTTTGGGCTAATATTACTTTTGAATAGATTTAAAATGTAGAAATATATGATCAATATTTTATTCCTTACATTGTCCTCCCTCCCTCCCTTTATTTCCTTTTCTTTTTTTCTTAAACTTTAAGCTCTCTTTAAGGTTTTGAGATATGGATAAAGTCAAGAAAAGAAAAATCCTCAGTGACAATAAAAGATAATGTGTCACCGGATCTAGTTCAGTTTGCTGAGATTTTTAGGAATCAAGTTGACGTCTCTAGGCCTAAAAAGCATTACTTGTCTGGACCCATGTGAACCAAGGTTATTTATTGGCTATAGTCTTGAAACCAAAAATTGGTATATTAAAACTTATTTCACACTTTGAGATTGCGATCGTGTGTGTGTGTGTGTGTGTGTGTGTGTGTGTGTTTGCTTTGTCATAAATGGGAATATGGCATATTGAAGGAAACTATTCAGGTAACACATTCGGCATTAACTGGGCTGTATTATCCAAGAATTGCAAAATAAAGCTTTAATTTTCCCCACCAACTAACTTTAAATCTGCTGGTGAAGTCATCATTCAATAGACCAATATTTTCTAAATTAATAAGAAAACTTACCTTACAAAAGTAGTCAGATAATGCTGATATTTCTCTTTCAAAGGCTAACAATGACAGGACAGTTCTTGGTCTTGAGTTGGTCAGTTCATACAGGAACTAGTGCACTTTCTACAGCATCAAATATTCATAGCTTTGCTAAAGATTCTGGGCTTGAAGATTAACTTGAAAGCTATCCATTTGCTACCATGAATCATGGCTCAAATTATCCTCATGTGCTTTACTACCTGTATATAAATGCAAATGCTGTTACAGAAAATATGCTTGAAATGTCTACACAATGTGCAATTAGTGTGGCCTTGCCATGCTTCAGCATGTGCTCTCCGTATGGTGAACTTATTTCAATTACTCAGATATGTTACTATAATAAAAATGTTTAACCTAAGAAAGCTATGATATGTCATCAAATGGTTATTTCTGTTTTACACACACACACACACACACATGCACAAACGTTTTAGAAATAAAAGATAGGCTCTCAATGAAGCATTCAAGATGATGGAATATATTTTTACAGTAATTTCCTTCTGCTGTACAGACAGCAATAGCACTATGGGGATAGCTTTACCCGCTATTAAAGTCAGGTCGAGTAAACAAAATTAGTATCAATTCCTTACTTTGCTGGAAGATACACATTTCTAAAATTTAGAAATGACACTTTTATATCTTTCTAGTATCATTGATTACAAAAGTATTACTAATCCGAATAGATTTATGTCAGCATCTCAGCTATCAAGTTCATTTTGGGATGAATTTGTAATTTTAATTTTGTTAAAATATCATATAAGAATCATATCCTAATCTTATTGCCATTTATAACATTGCTCTTTAAGATGCTTATATATGAAGAAATCAGAATATTTTTACTTTGAAGAAAGAAAGCACTTTGCATAAAAATTCTATCATGGTAGGAACTTTAAAGCATGTATTTTTAAAACTGTTGCTATTTTTATAAAGTAAAAATATTGTATGAAAGCTCAAAGTTGAATTTGTGATTTTTCAGTGACATATAAAGGTGAGGCCAATGTGAGTATGTATTTCCCTATTTTACTAATTAATTTGTAATTTAAAACATATATAAAATTTTGTTCATTAAATGGCTGAAAATCTTTAAACTATATAATAAATCATCCCAAAATAATTCAAGTGTTAGAAAATTTTATGTAGTGCCTTAAAACAAAATTAATATTTAGCTTTTTTTGTAGAAATATCATACATCTTTAATTTGGAGAGTTTTTTCTATGTGCATGTGTTAATCCTCACTGGAGGATATTTTTTCCATTGATTCTTGAGAGTATGGAAGGAAGAGAGAGAGAGAGAGAGAAAGAGAGAAACATCAATGTGAGAGGGCCACATCAATTGGTTGCCTCCCACAGATACCCTGACCAGGGAGGGGAACCTGCAACCCAGGTATGTGCCCTTGACCAGGAATTAACTTTTGATTCTTTGGTGGGCAGGCTGACACTCTAACCATTGAGCAACACCAGCCAGGGCTGGAGAGAGCTA